ACCCTAAAAATGACCCCAAATTCCCTAAAAATGACCCTGAATTCCCTAAAATTTCTCATGAAATTCTCTGCCCAAAATCCCATTTAATTTCCACTTTTCCAGGGATAAATTCCTGCCCAAAATCCCAGATTAAATCCCATTTAATTTCCCTTTTTCAGGAGAAAATCCCATTAAATTTCTCATTAAATTCCTGCCCAAAAATCCCATTTAATTCCCATTTTTCCAGGGGAAAATTCCTGCAATTTCTCATTAAAATCCCATTTAATTTCCACTTTTCCAGGGGGAAATTCCTGCCCAAAATCCCATTTAATTTCCCTTTATCAGGAGAAAATTTCTGCAATTTCTTATTAAATTCCTGCCCAAAATCTCAGATTAAGTCCCATTAAATTTTTCATTAAATTCCTGCCCAAAATTCCATTTAATTCACATTTTTTGAGGGGAAAATTTCTGCAATTTCTCATTAAAATCCCATTTAATTTCCACTTTTCCAAGAGAAATTCCTGCCCAAAATCCCATTTAATTCCCTTTTTCCAAGGGGAAATTCCTGCCAAAAATTCCATTAAATTTCCTCTTTTTTCAGGGGGAAATTCCTGCAATTTCTCATTAAAATCCCATTTAATTCCCATTTTCCAGGAGGAAATTCCTGCCCAAAATCCCAGATTAAATCCCATTAAATTTCTCATTAAATTCCTGCACAAAATCCCATTTAATTCCCCTTTTCCAAGATAAAATTCCTGCCAAAAATTCCATTTAATTCCCATTTTTCCAAGGGAAAATTCCTGCCCAAAATCCCATTTAATTTCCTCACCTCCTTGGAATAAATTTTTTGGGATTTTCTAAAATAAATTCGATTTTTTTCCCATTTTTACTTTAAATTTCTATTCCTGAAGTGTTTCCTTAAATCCAAATTATGGAAATTTTATGGAAATTTTATGGAAATTATGGATGAAAATTCCCAAAATAATGGGAATTTTTATGAAGTGTGGAAGTTATGGATAAAACCTTTTGAAATGATGGAATTTTGTGGAAATTATGGATTAAAAAACTCCCAAAATTATGGAAAT